TCTTGCGTACAAGCCCCAATAAGCTTTTCATAAGTAAAATCACTATAGGGAATAATTCCTTGTGGATTTCTAAGAGTCTTTTTTACTCTTTCAGCAAATAAAGAAGGTAACCCATCAATAAATTTGGCTTTCCAAAATTCTAAACCATTTTCGGGAAGTTCCATTACCCGACTTAAATAAGTGTCTTTATACCATCTAAACTCACCTAAATGTCTACATCTAAGACCATTTAGTAGAGATGTAATAGTTTCATATTGATTGGTAAATCTACCACTAAAATGTTCAAGAATAGTCAAAATTAGTGTATACACAACGTCTTCTCTATTTTGAACAAGGGCAAAGCCTAAATTATCAACCCCTTCATTTACTGCCTTAGCATTAATTACTGCTTCTCTCGCATCAGAGCAAGGCAAAGCCTAAATTATCAACTCTTTCATTTACTGCCTTAGCATTAATTACTGCTGCTCTCGCATCAGAGGGCATATAATTATCCCACCATCCTCTTAGTTGACCGGTAAATCCTGCAATAATCATCTTGCAAATGGTCTTGTCAGTGTTATTATCACTTTTGCAGCTAGTAGCATACATAATCATCCTATGAACCATAATCGTCAACTGCCTATCAGTTAACCCAGCGAGATTCCATTCATAAATCTCACATCCACTATAAGAAGTGTTAGTTTGATTCCAATCTCTTTCCTTTATTAAAACATCTTGAGGAGTAGGCCTGGGATAGTAATATGTTTGCATGCTAGGTTTTCTAGCATAAGCAGTATTACCGCTATTCTTCTTTGGATACCCATGAAGTTTATTAACTTCCATTTCCACTTGAGTTTTGAAATCAAAGGTGGCTTCCATTTCATCTGCAAAATCTTCAGTGAAGCTTATCGGTTTCGCACTTGCACCAAATTTTGAAATTTTTTTATCTAAAAGGCTTTCAAGACCATGAAGAGGTCTAAGAATACAATCCTGAATCTCAGGAGGTCTTTGAATATGGACATCAGGCTCTTTGGATGTAAAAGCCTGTTCAGAGACTTGTTTCGTTGATTTCAACTTGTCATCAATTTGAATAATCAGATTAGTTAGATTATATAACTTCTTATCTAGAGAACAAATATGTTCACCAATGACTTTAACATACAAACCCAAATAATTATTTTTGAGAAATAAGTCGATTAATCTCATTAATACTTACTGCGGCCACCTCATTATCAATAAATTTATGAAAAGCAGTGAAAGTACTACTAGTATTATTTGGTAAAATAAACGGAGCTTGAGGAGGATATATGGATTGAATAATATTACCTGATTCATCTTTGTAAGATCGTTCAAAAACGTTGATGAATAAAGGCAAATAAGTGGTTATAAACCAAGGCACAAAGAACATAATATGATTATGTAATGCACAAGTTTCATAAAATTCTTGAGAAATATTATTTAAATCTTCTCCATTATAAGTGTCAAAAAATCAAGTTTTAAACTGGCTCCATTTTTCATTTAAAAATTCGTTTTGAATATATTTTCTTGCCAGTGAACCTGGACTAAAATCAATTTGATGTTCACTCATCAATAATGAATATCCAGTCTTCTATCAGAAGCAAAAGAATGTCTACTATAAGGAACACTTTTTTCATCAAACTGTATACAAATTTTTCCATCGGAATTTTGACTAATATGAGAATATTCAGAATTGGTGACAATATCTGTCATTTGTTCAGGGGTATAACAGAATCTAGAGTCCAAGTTGTAGGAAAATTAATTTCTTCCCATTTTATAGGTCTTCTAGTAATGACCTTAGATCTGGTGAAATTAGTTTCTACCAAAATAGTTTTATCAGATGTATCATATAACTTACGTCTAGGATGCAAAGTAGCAAGTAATTTATAATAGATTCTATAAGACAAGCAAATTAATTCAGAACCAACTGCGTAGTTATAACCATGCGTTTTAACATTCAAAGTTAAAACATTTAATATATTAGAATCAGTCAAAGATAACTGCAAATTTAGTTGAGCATTAAAATAGACTGGACCATAGGCCACCGTAGATTCTATCGAACCCATCAAAGA